CCTTGCGCCTCAGTCCTTCAATGATTATCCACAAAAATTATAAGCAATATGACACTTTTTCTTTCCTACTGTTCCTAATACCGGTTTTATTAGACGGAAAGCCGATAGGCAGGAAGTTATTAAACGTTACCACACTTCTTGTACATTTGCGTTTGAGAAGCCAGCGAAACCGATCGGTTATTACCAAGGCCAACTAAATTATTCACATGATTACAAAATCACTTCTTAACATGTTGTTATGTTTCTTATACAAATATATAGATAATATTTTACATATTGGCACAGTTACTTTTAAGTTGCTGTTGATTATGCAAATCCATTAAAAAAAAACTAGATCTTTTTTTTTTAACAAACGTAGAAATAAATAAAATGCATTACTTAAATCGCAACAAAGTATTAGAAATGAGGGCATAAGAATTTGGTCAAAAGTCCGTACAATTCAATTACGAAATTTGAGATTCTACAAGCGAAATTTTACATGTAACAGGTGTTTGAATGGAAACTGTAAAGAACGCCTGATAAACAGTGATGATTTTGATTTGGTAACCACAGTGACTATCTTGCATTTAGTAGACCTAGATATAGGCTAATTGTATTTTTGTTTTTTTATAATTTACCTCGGACGAATTTAAATTTAAGTTATGGAATTAACTAAATTGTTCCAAGAGAAATTTTTAACTTGCGTTAGAAATCAGCGAATTTCCAGACAATCCAAATACCTAAAAGTTAGTCAATTTGAAGTAAGAATAATAAAGGTCGTTGTTATGTAATTTTCTCCATTCTATACCTCCTTAATGTATCTTCATTTCAAAACTTAATTTACTATTTTTTAAATATTTTAGGTGTGGCATTTTATAGACGTATCAAGGTAAAATTATCTCCGCACAAGAATCTCCAAGTGGCTTCTTCGAGACGCACAATGAATATATATATGCCTTCATTATATATGATACGTCCAATCTATAAAGATCGGTTATGACTCTAAAACATTAAATCTTCAACGATGCCTTGAAAACCCAAAGTATATTATATTACTATGGGATGTTCAGGAATAATCTTCTCAGTATCTGACTACATTATGATGTGGGTCGTAGAGGGTTGTAAAGGTGTGTGGGGAGGGGTGGGTCATCGAGTTCAAACGTTTTATAAAGTGAAAATAAGAAAGATTCAGTGGGATGTTGAATTCCGGTAGGTACAGTCAGCGATCTGATAGACTAATACCACGTAATGATGGGGTAATGGCGGTCAGACATGGCGAGGAATAATAATTGCATCGTTTATGCGGACGGGAGCTAAGAAAACTCCCGAAGGAATTATCCGTACAGCCAGAGACAAATAACAGTCGGTCCAGCTAAAGAATTCTCTTGCCGCCTTATCTCCTGCACCGAAATGTAAATATTGAAATATCCAGTGTTATTTTGTAAGGATATAAAACCTTTGTGTTTCACGCAGAGCTCAGATTTTGGACGATGTTTGTGAACATGGCGTTGAGAAGAGAATTTGCACTTAAGATGGATAAATATGACAGAAGACTGGAGAGAAATGCGTAATGCGGAGATTTATAATTTGTAGTCCTCACCAAATTAAACTAAATTTAGGGCTTAAAACAATTGTTAATAAAATAGTGTAGTTGCGTCATATTGTGATTTATTAAATTAAAATTAAATTATTTGGTTATTCCGTCAAATCACAATGTATTTAAAATAAGATAATTAAAATATCATTCTGTGTTCCATATCGAATAATCGATTTACAATTGGAACAGTTACAACATGTTTCGGTTTTATTAAACCATCATCAGGTGTAAAATTATATTAAATTTAAAACTCAATTACGTTAAATAAAGTTCTGTGTTCTTAACTGCTGAAGAAATGAGAATATTATTTGAAACAGCGAACATTTCCTTAAACATCGTTAACCATTTAATCTTTGTGATGGTGAAATGTGGTGTTTACTTCGCGGTACGGACTCTCTGTTTAAATATTATGTACGCAACGCGTGTCTCATTATAAACAGCGAACATTTCCTTAAACATCGTTAACCATTTGATCTTTGTGATGGTGAAATGTGGTGTTTTCTTTGCGGTACGGACCGAATCCTTAAATATTACTTAGGATTACATTTTTAATAACAAATCAGCTACTACTTTTTTTGGAAGCACGTACCTTATTGATGTAGAACGAAAAGTGGTGAGGTATTCGGTTAATTTAATGTACAAATGTGTGAACAGCACTGCTTTGAACGTTACACTACGCTACGTAGTTCTGAGATCCGCGGTCTGACCGCAATCAATTTGTTCATCTGCCTGCAGGAGCCGTGATGAATTATTGCCCGTGTATCCCCGGTAACACGCATCGATTATGGCCAATAAATATTTTAAAACAAGTAGATCATTCATGAAACACCCAGAGTGAACTAACTCCATACAGCAGAGTCGTTTGATAAACTAACAGTCGTTCATCTGGTCATAAAATTCCTGGTCTTGTATTGAAACCAAATGTTCATTATCGTGTTCGCAAAAGCCCGCCACTGTACCCTGTTTGAACCAAATGCATGCAATCCTTAAAATAATTTCTTTAAGATTCATTCTAATATTATTATCCATGCCCTGGTCTTTTAAATGACTTCTCCCCTTTAGATTTTCTTACCTAAATTTTGTTTGCATTTTTTTATCTCTGCTATACGCGCTACATGTCCTGTCCATGTACTCCTCAACGAATTCATAATCGTAATATAAGGTAAAGAATTCAGTTATGAAGCTCCTCACTGTAAAATTGTCATATAAGCCACTGTTGCTTCAACACTGTAGCAACGGGCTGACTGCCCACAGCTCACTAATGGTATTATCTTGACATGTCTTCCGCCCATGTAACGAGGCAAGATGAGTTTTCAAGAGGGAAATTTCATCTTCTGCAAGAAGTTAAGATGGTACTTAAAGAACAAAAATTTTCGATACCAAATTTAATCTTGACAAAGCGACTTGATGTGATGATTCCATTGTTTCTCTCTTTCTTTAGGAAGAAAAATAAGTACAACAACAACATTATACTTAGAAAACCGTATTCAACATAATCACGTCTACTTGCTTACTTATTCTTCAAAAAAATAATTTTAAAAAGTTGTGTCTCTATTTCCATTATATTAAGGAGGGAAATTTCTGCAACTCAAATTCCCCTTTATGGTGTCACGATTAATTTTAATCGTGAATTTTAAATGAAAGTGGAATTCCGTCTCTTTAATTTTCATAAATAAATTATTAATTTTTTTCCTTCCGGTATACAGCAGTTATCATCAGTTAGATACTGACACTGACGATGGAGGCAGAACGTTCTACTAAAATGTCAGTCGGTTTCTATCAGACTACTCTGTTGAACAACGCAGAAGACAGCTACCTCCGTACTCATAGCCTTGAGAACGTGAAATATCGCGTTTGTTTACAGTAAATAAACATGTTCAGATCTAGAGTATTAATATTTTAAAAAAAAAGTAGTTCTTACCTCAAAGAAAACAAAAAAAGCATATCCATGATTACAATCAATTTTTTAACGCTGTTTAAGGAAAAATCTTTGCGTACTCCGAAAAATCATAAGAAACTTATAAATGCAAAGCGAGCAGAGATGTTGAATTTTGATGGCACACCACTGGACTGAAAATGGTTAAAATGACTCTTAATCCTCATAAAAAAGAAAATTAAACAGAGAAATTACAGTTGCCCAAGGCCTAGACCTTGACTAATGAGAACACAGGAACGCGGGGAACAAGTAAGAAATGATCTTGTGGCTTATTCCAGCGATAACTTCCAATGAACCAAACACACGCTTCGTACGTATGAGAGCGAAAAAAGAAGACTGGTCGACCCAGAGCTTCTGTCTGCGTACTGTAATTAATATCTCGAGGCAAGGGCATGTTGAATGCTTAAAGTATAGGTACGTGGATCTGCCATAGGCGGGCCACGGATCCGTCTACCTAACGACAGAGAATATATGAAAATTATGCAATAATAATGATAAACTGGCTTACAGGTTCTAGCAACATCCCTGCTACATAATGCCATATCCACCATCTTGTTCCTCTGATGCGAGAGAGAAGAATGCCAACTAACTTAAGTAATTACTTAAAAACTCATTGGAGCTCAATCCACCAGAAGAAGGTAATAATCACTCGGTTAGTCAAGAATTTCTCCATTATTCACGCAACCCGAAATTTCATTATCGTGCTCACAAGAGCTCGCCACTGGTTCCTATCCTGAGCCATATAAATCTAAACCAGAGATCAATTTTAATATTATACTACACTCTAGGCGAGCCGGGATAGCTCAGTCAGTATAGTGACTAGCTACGGGCTGGACGACCGGGGTTCGATCCCCGACGGGGGCAGAGGATTTTTCCTCTAGCCTCTGCGTCCAGAGCGGCTCTGGGGCCCACCCAGCCTCCTCTACAATGGGTACCGGGGTCCTTTCCCGGGGGTAAAGCCGGCCGGGGCGTGATGCTGACCACTCACCCCATCTAGTGCCGAGGTCAAGGAAGAGAGGAGCTATACCTCCTCTCCCCCCAAACGCCTACATGGCGTATAGTGGGACAAACTTTACTTTACTTACTACACTCTAGGCCTATTTCATCTGAGAGGTCTCGTGTCTTCAGGATTTCGAACCAAAATTCTGTTCACATTTCGAATTCCCCCCCATGCGTTCTATATGCCCAGCACATCTCATCTTCCTCGATGTATCTTATTATTTGGCAAATAAAAATTATGAAAACCTCTTCAAATGCAATGGAAAAATAATGTATTTTAGTAACTCTTTTAAACCCTACAGCGTGTCATCACGTCTTTGTGGTCACATAATATCCGTGGTGAGCATTCCTTTCAGATTCTGTGTTTTATTCAACGAAATCTTTTGTCAAATAAGAAAAACCACTCCGACGTCCGTCCCACTGACGTCTCACGCCCTTCAAAATATGCCATTGGGAATGTTAACGTGTTAACACGTGCAGGTTGCTTACCTGTATGGAGGAATAGGTGGTTCTTGAGGTTGGTGTGCTTGCTGAAGCCGCGATTACAGATATGGCATTTGAAAGGCCAAGACCCATTGTGGACGTACATATGAGACTTGAGGTCCCCTGGCGTCGGGAAAGACTTCGAACAGAGTCCGCACTTGTGTGGCTTCTCCTGCAAACAAAGAAATAAGCCATCTACATTCCCAGACCATTGTAATTGTTTCATTTTAACTTGGTCCATGCTAAGCACGAGATATGTCGTTTATGAAAATAATACTACTACATCTGGTTTGCGTTCAACCTGCGTGTTTGCGAAGATTAGTGGCAGAAACGAGTTCAACCGAAGAACAAATGAATTTACAGTTCTTCATTGCCATGGAAACACAAGAACAGAATATCATCATCATAGATTAGAATTTAATGTACCAAATTCCATTCCCGTCTCTATTTCATTTCACGAAACTCCTTAATGGCGTGCCCTAATATAAATCTAAAAATAAACGTCGATAAAGCATCTCCTTGTTTCAGTCCAATTCTAACGAAAAATGTACACATGCGAATATCGACAGCATATAAAGAGGATGATTTGAGAGTCTCACAGAAATGAGCACAAATATGGCTGTCTTCTGGGTTGTCGCGTCTGATGATAGAGGCAGCAAGCACCTCTGAAACGTTGGTAAACTTCTATTAGCCTACACGGCGTTACAACTCACAAGACAGCTATCTTAAACAGCCGACAACAGTTATATGTACCATAAGGATGAAACACGATGCATATATTACCTGTAAAACATTTGGTTTAAATAAATTTTCCAGTGTATGCGACTCAGGCCTAAAACCAGCAAAAATGCGTGTTAATTTCCTTTCACTATCTACTCTACCAAGCCATCAAGAGGAAGGTTTACATGCTGAAATACAATCACGTACATAATAAAACTTCTTAACAACAGATGCTGAATAAATAATGTAAGTCTTGACAAGTAACGAGAGCTTGTCAAACCCACGAATCGATCAATCGATCAGAAGAGAGTTCGATTCTACTACTGTCGAGATCCAGTGAATGCGATACAAATAGCTTGTAATGCATAACACGAGTTAAGATAATTCTTTACAGTACGCCATTCAAGTCGATTATAATCGATTAAGTCCGTTCTTGAACAATTCTTTACTTGTGTCTCCCCCCACCCCCTCTTAAATATTATCTTTCTGAATTCATTGGAATGTCCGAGGAGGAGCAATAATATATGAGACTTCAAAATTGAAACTGGACAGATATTGAAGCCAGTTGTCTTTAATAAGCTACTGTGCATTCTATACTCTGTTATGTTTCGAAGTGAAAAGGAGACGACAAGAAGATTGTCATTGCACATTCGTTTCAGGTAAATTTAAAGATAATTTACATTTAGAAAGAATTATACCACTCGGAAGACCATGACGCAGATGGAGTGTTAATATTAATGCGGGTCCTAAATAATTATGTTTGTATGGTGTGGGCTAGAGTCATCTAGCGGGACCGTTTGTTGAACGCTTTTGAACACGGTAAGGAACAAGCAGATTCCAAGTTTATCGACTATTTTCAGTACTAAATTTGGTATAATTCGACATAGGCAGTTATATTGAATAAACAGCTTTGTCTCTCGCCATTTAACCACCCGCCTTGGTTGTAGTACCACTTTCTCATAGCCCTGATGATGGAAGCAACAAGTACATTCGAAACTTCAGTAAACATCTACCAGACTACGCGGCGCAAAACCCAGAAGACAGCCATCTGGACGTTGTATTAACTAGTAACATATTCTCAAATAATTTCGCGGTCTTGGTCACAAGTGGTCTCGTGCTGAATGTGGCCCGCGGGCCGCCACTTTTTCACCACGATGACCTATACAGTGTGATATAATTTAAGGAAACGTAAAAGAGAATAAGAAAGAAACTTCCTCTAAGACGACAGAACGCAAGACAGCTGCATTGTACGACTTAATATCCATATGGTTCTTTATTCAGAATATAATAATGAAGCAGTCATAACAGCAGTTGGTCACCTTAGGGTTAATAAGAGAAGCTGTCTGCCCTTCAACAGAAAGATATTCTGTTGGTCTGTTGAAGTTTCAACAGCGTAACCACGCAACATATGGTAAGACTGTTAGCCGACGAGGCTGGAACAGAACGTATTATTTCGCTATTAAGGACAGTATCGTATTCTGTCAACATGACTGGGCCCTGTGTTAATCTCTTGTTAATTATTCTTTAATTAACATATAAATACACTTATTTAATTTGATTAGAGTAACTGGAACGTGTAACAGATCTTTTATCGTCTAAAAGTGAGAAATAAAGTGACAAATTTCGTGGTCTATTTCAAAGCTTGGAAAGTCTGAGGAAAATCATGAAGGCATCATTATCGATAAGCCGTTCCCACAGGCCTCCCGAATACGAGGTAGGATTTCTTAATACACAGAAGCTGTTTTTGATTTTTTCCTTTTCTAAATAAAATAAACGGAGGATAATATTAAAAAGAAATATATATTGTTTAAATCTTGTTCGTCTAATCACAATAAATTCTTATTAAATATTAAAATATTACATTAATTAACATTTAAAATATTTAAAATATTAAATGATGTTCTTTATCGAAATATTCGATTTACATCAGAACATCATTTAATATTTTAAATATTTTAAATGTTAATTAATGTAATATTTTAATATTTAATAAGAATTTATTGTGATTAGACGGACAAGATTTAAACAATATATATTTATTATATCACAATATGACGCAACTTTACCATCTCATTAAAAAGAAACAAATATATGTTTTCGAAAATGTGATTTAAAATTGGCTAGCTTAGCACGGTTCCATAAGAGTTTCAAAGATAAGTAACAAATCCTTTGTCATGAATACTGTAATGAAAGTAGGGGTTATATGAGGCGAGTATTGACTAGCTGAGCGACTGTTAGCTTCTCAAGTACGATTGAGAACCATCGAGTTAGTTTAGTTAGGGCGGCTGTTGAACCTTCAAGCCACGATAAGAATTTTTTAATAACACATCGCTAACTTTCTGGTAATGACGATGTTAAATTACTCCAGCAGATGATAGAACATCATTAAAAATAGAATAAATTAGTTTGTTTTACACTGAACGTGTTATTTGTCTTCGGAAACAAATGAGTGTGTTTACGAGCTCGCTTTCTACGCAACGAGAGGTCGGAGATTAAGGCGTGTGCTGTTGGAATCAACGCCATCCCAACTGAATGGTTTTTGATGGCTTGGAAAATTATAAGGATTGGTAATTGAAGGTGGAATTAAGACTCATATTCGCAGAATATGTCTGCAATACCACGGAACCTTCCACAACTATGTCTAGACCGTCACCGATAGAAATTTAAATAAATTAATGAGCTTATTAGAATTTTGTTTGACATTATGGTAATCGAAATAAACATAATGAATCTTCCCCAGTGGTTTGCTGTTGTGAGCAATGTAATTAAACATTTTGGTTTCATTAAGGGCGAGAAAACTGAATAGCTGAACCACCATCAGCTTCCGAAGAGGAGACGGAACGTTTATAACATTGTTCCTAACACCATACAAGACACAGCCGTCATATTTCATAACCACCATTTCATAACGAAACGTCGCTGTCGAGTGGCAAAACACTGCTTCGTATTCGCGAGGTCCAAGGTTCAAATTTAGACCTGGAGGTAGAGAATCCTGAAAATTTTCGTCTTAAAAACAATTCATCCAAACGGCACGACAATATTTATCAGAGGGGTAAACATTTTCCTGGGCAGCTTTCCAGCACTCAAAAAAGCACCGAAACGTCGCCCTAGATCGATTACATTCTCGTTAACAACAGCCCATGATTAGTTTTTAAACACTTTAATTATTTAATAATTCAGATTCGATTCTAATCGATTCTAATCGATTCTAAGGGCAAACCCACGCAAGTTATAAAAGAGTGAGTAAACATAAAAATAACAGACGTTACATAATAAATATAATTGATAAATAATGCAGAAATCTCCTCGTCTGCTCACAGCGTCTCCGGTCGCGTTATTCCTTTGTTTTCTCTACATTTTACGTCACAGGCAAAAAGGGTTCGCGTTATTTCTTTGTTTCCTCTACATTTTACGTCACAGGCAAAAAGGGTTTCGTCTGAGCAGCAGATGGTAGAGTCAAAAGGGAAGGAAGTCTTTGGGGTTTTAAGTTTAAGGAAGTAGGCAAATATATAAGAAGAATAGCCTCAAATTATCTGTCTGTCTGTCCGTCTGTTCGCCTTAACACACGCAAATGTGTCCTAGTTAAGAACTATAGCACCCCTACAGACGGTAACGATACTTTGGCACATGTCGAATGTTCGACGCCTAGGCCTACCAACGTCACAATATAATTCTCAAAAAAATTTACCTCAGTTTCTCAAGGCACAAGATAAATTTGTATCTTCAATTAAACTTTTACATTTAATTTGAGATAGTACAACTGAGATTACGTATTTCAGGTGCGAAACCCTCGTGTTAGCCGCGTCAGGTCGGTTAACAATTTAAAAAAATCAGAAATGTAACGTCCCCTGACTTACATGAACACAGCATAACCAATCAGATAAAATTCATCGTTAGCCAGCTAAGTCCAACCAAGATGGCTGTCACACTCACGAAGTTTGGTGTTGAGAAGTAAAGGACGATAATAGGAAAATACTTAAGATAAAGGAGACTGAAAGAATAGATGAAACACAAGATGAATGAAAATTCTAAAATAATACTTTTGAGAAGAATTGGAGCGTGGAGAACAGGGGACAATACAGAAGAAAAAGTGAGGTTATGATGAAGAAACAAGAAATGTATAACAAAGAAGAGAAGAGATTTAAATAAGTAGGAGAAGAATTTATTTACAGTTAACGAAGCTTTCAGTGACATTAGAAAGGATTTTGAAGTAAGCGGTCGTGACGTGATACTACCCCGATATTTGCCTGGAGGAAATGAAGAAAACCACGAAGAAACTCGATAAGGGCCAAGATTTGAACCCGAGAACCCCCGAATACAAAGCCGACGACACGAATAAGGTAAGACAGAAGTCCTGGATATCTGTCGACGAAGATTCCTTGAGTGTTGAATCGTCTGTAGAAGCCTCTCGCTACCACCTGCTCCTCCTTGCGATATTCCTTTCAAGAATTC